CGCGTGCTGGGGGTGAGCACAATATCTGTCTGTTATGGAGTATTGGCAGCCCCTCAAATTAAGGTTGTAGATGAGTTTCTACTACAATAACTAGCATATTATTTCAAGCATGAGTAAGCACTAGGTATGCCTGTGTGCGCCATATATGAGTATATGTATATATGACTATATTTTTCTCTGTGAATTAATACATTACTTACAAGAATCCTTTATTAACTTCATTTTTAGGAATAGCATTTTATGAATTAGCTTTGCATGCAAAGACCAGTATGATCAACAGGATTTTTGTGACTACCTGTTTCCAATGACCTCAAGACCCTTTGCCTTCCAGTTGCTACTCCCAGCCCCATTAGTGATGTTACCTTCATTTTACAGGTGGGGGGAATTTGAACTGCAGAGATTGGCCAGAAGCCCTGCAATGTTGATAATGCCTCTTTGGCTCCCAACCATGTGTTCTAGCCACTAATTTGTGTTCTCTTCCTAAGGAGTGTTATTTATTGGGCATGGTATGTGAGAACAGGCTTTTACACAATACTTGGAAAGGCAAGCTTTGATCCCAACACTAGTGGCTTAAGTAGAGGGGGTTCAGTTGTTCAAGCAACAAAATAGAGCTGGTTCTTTGCCCCGATGCTTGCACTATACCCAGAGTTTATGATGACTTCGCATTCTAGTCCATCTTAGACTGTTTTATATCTGCTAAGCTGGAGCAAGAGGCTGTTTAATGCTCTGAGAATTGTGTGACTCTAGCCACCTGTGGCAAGCCTCTGGCCAGTTATTTTACTCTGGATGACAATCGGAGAGCCGCCTTGTGGACATCCATACACAGCTGGAAAATAGTTTGTGACATAAACCAGAGACGAAGGGTGGTGGGAGTGATGGGCTTTGAGGCTTAGCTACTGTTTATGAATAGTATCTTGGCATAAGGACCACCAGGCATGAAAAAATGAGATTGGTAATACTGGCTCAATAGCAGATGCAAACTCCATATGCAAGTGCAACTGACAGTGCCTCATTATGGATGTGGTCCAAAGCCCAAGGAAGCGAATGAAAGACTCTTGGACTACAAGGTAGTATGGATGCTGGATTCTTGCTATTTGCTGTAATTTTCCTCTTAGGTAGGAACAATGTAGCTCCTCTCAGTAGTAATATAGGTACTGAAATGTTATCTAGTGTTTTGCATACGGTAGGCTGGCTTCTCATCTGGAGAATGGTAACTTGTACTAGCTGTAAATTAGGCCAGTCTCTAATTTAATTGTCACAGGCTGGTAAGCATTGTACCCAAACTATAGAGGCATAGAAGGGACTTACCCAGAGCCACAGAAAGAGTAAGTGTCAGAATTGCATTTAGAACACAGGAATGGCCGGTCTGGTGCTTACACCACACACAGCATGGGTGGGAGATCTTAAACTCTTGGTGCTTCTTTTCTCATGAAACCAGCATGGAAACATCAGAAAGGGAGAGAACAGGATCTTACCCATATGGAAATCAGTAGAAAGAAATGCCAGGGGCCCTGATTCATCCCTTCAGAGATGAGTGTGAGTAAGAGCAACTCTGGCTTTTGAAGGTGCGTTCTTCTTGTAAGCAGATCTGTGTAGAGGAAAGAAGGATAATGTCCAGTTATGTACACAGTACATAGATATAAATGTAGAGCATACTTTGGTGTCCTTAGCTGTCAACAGGAGTATGACTTAAATGCAACCAGCTTGGGTTCATATGACTATCCACTTTCCTGACTAATTATGGACTCAGTAGACTAGACCTAAAGCTAGCGTGATCCAGTACAAACCTAGTGACTCCAGTGGAATTACACTAGTTTTCCTCAGCAGAGGATCTGGCACCGTATTTCTGGTGGCAGAGACATGCAAGAAGCAGGTTTGATTACTTTCAAGGGGGCTACCTAAAAAAAATAATCTTGAGTACTCTGAGCAAGGTTTTCTCTTCTGTTGGCTAGAAATCACATTTACTTACATATTTTAGTAATTCCATAACACTTCCTTATCTGTCTTATAAAGAAGAACCTAGTAAGGAGAGAGAGAACTTAAATATTTCCAGCAAGAACTTGTTTTCTTCGTTGATTTTACACTTGAACCTTAAAGTAAAAGGAGAGAGTTGTATTATTTCTAATGTAATTCATTAACATCTTCCAGGAGGGCCAGAGAATGCTGTATGTCTACAATACCTGCCTTGTGCTCAGTTGCTTTTTAAAAAATGATCTCCTGTGACAAACTGTGCAAACCTAGAGGTGCTTTCATAAGTTTGGGGAAGTTAAGAATAATGGTAATAGATTTTTCCATGGTTGTGTTTGACTGATGCTGTACTCATGATGGTCCATGACTTATGCAAGAGGCAAGGGTTTGTTAAGATAACATCTTTTATTGGACTTGCCTCTTGCATAGTTTTTTCCATGTCATTCTACAGACTGAATGCCTGAAAGAGGTGCACCTTTGCCCTGCTGAGAGCTTTGCAGTAATAAAAAAAGTGTGATTAGTGTGCCTAGGACTAAGCAAAAATAAAAAATATTAACTTCTTTTTCTTGATTTTGACTTGCTCCTGGTTCCAACTGAAGCATCTAAAACCATTCTGAGTGAATCTGGAGACATCACACTGGCTTTTGGGGTATAACTTGTGTGATTGAGCCCATTATTTTGAGCATGCCTAAATGTGGCAAGGTTTAAAGAAGGGTCTGTGGCTTACCTTAAGCCATTTCTAGTATCTTCACATTATGAGGTGTTGCCTACATATCATCTACACATCAGGTAAAGGAGATTCATCATCTCACTGACATCCATGATATGTAAAATTTTTTTCAATGCCACCAAAGCCATCTACGGTTTGAGCACTCAGGGGCCAACCCCCTTGAAACCTAGGAATGGAGGAGATCTGATCAAGGAAAGTGGAGCCATCAGCACCTGTCTGATGGAGCAGTTTGAAGACCTCAGTTGAGACTCTGTTGTTGACAAGAGTGCTCTTAACTCCCTGCAATACCCAGTCAGAGACAATCTTGAAATCCTTCCAGCCGTTGACCAGGTGAGGAAAGCCATTAAGCAGATGAAGAATGACAAGGCATCTGGAACTGATGGAAGTCTCACTGAAATCTTCAAGAAGGGGGGAGAGGAGCTCACATCACAGCTCCCTGCCCTCATAAAGATTTGGAATGATGAGAAAATCCCAGATGACCTTAGGGATGCCATAATTATGACAATCTTCAAGAAAAGAGACAGGTCTAACTGTGTAAGTAACAGAGGGATCTCCTTGTTGTCCACCATAGGAAAGATCATTGCAAGAACCCTCCTGAACAGTGTCCATCCACTGGCTGAAGAACTCTTCCTGAAATCTCAGTGTGCATTTAGGGCATCAAGAAGCATAACTGAGACAATCTTTGCTGCTTGCCAGCTGCATGAAAAATGCTGGGAACAACATAAACCTCTCTACATGGCCTTCCCTGACCTCACAAAAGTCTTTGACTCTGTCAGCTGAGAAGCACTGTGGGGGATCTTTCTGAAGTATGGATGTCCACTGAATCTATCACCATTCTTTGCTTGCTCCATGATGGTATGTGAGCAGTGGTTCTCATTAATGGATCTATCACAGATCCCTTTGAGGTTAAAACAGGAGTTAAGCAAGGCTATGTCATCACTCCAACACTCTTCTCAATATTCCTTACTGTAATGCTACATCTGACCACCAACAAACTTACAATTGGAGTAGACCAAATGGATGGTAAGCTGTTTGATCTCAGCCAGCTCTGAGCCAAAACCAAGACCATCCCAACCTCACTCGTTGAGCTCAAGTATGTTGATGATGCTTGCTCGGAAGCAGACCTTTAGGCAATTGCTGACATCTTTACCACAGTATGCGAGAAAATGGGACTGACACTTAGCATTCAGAAGACTAGGGTCCTCCATTAACAAGCTGTTAATGAGTAGTCCTCAGATCTGTTAATTCAGATTTACAGTGAGACTCTGGAGAATGTTGAGTATTTCCGGTACCTCAGAAGCCAACTCTCACAGAAGGCTGACATAAAAAAAAATCCAACATCGCCTTAAAAGTGCAAGTGCAGCTTTTAGATGCCTAAGGAAACAGTTGTTTAAAGATCACAATATCAGATCTGAAACCAAGCTCATGGTTTATCAAGCAGTTGTGATCCTCACCTTCCTGTATGGAGCTGAGCTGTGAACAATATACAGGAGACACCTCAAGTAGCTGCAAAAGTACCATCAACACTGCCTATGGAAGATCCTTTGAATCTAGTGCACAGGTATACAATTGTTCCTAGCCACTCTCTCTACCAAGACAAGGATAAAGCACAGCTTGCATGCCTATCAAGTTGAAAAAAGACTTACCCTAGCAGGATAGGTATTGGCAAGACTGGACCACATGATGTTAGCATTAGTATGGTAGCATCTAGTGGGCACACTCATGGATCGGGGCCCACTGTACTAAGCACTGAACAACACAGAACAAACAGCCAGTTCCCATTCAAAGAGCTTTGAAACTCATTATTGTGATGCTTAGAAGGCAAAAAACAACAGGTTGATGTAGACCAGGGGTGGGTAATTATTTGGCCCCATGGGCCACATAAAGAGTTTTGG